TGGTTAGTCTCCATCTATGGCTTCCTGTCCTGCCTTCAGGTTGACCCTCCCCCATTCTTTATGGCAGCCCCTTAAATACTGGAAGATGTTATCATGTCACCCCCTAGTCCTCCTTTTCATTAAACTAGACCTACCCAATTCCTTTCTTCGTATGCGATAACAGAATCACAGAGTTGAAAGGGACCTTGGAGGTCTTCTAGTCCAACCCCTGATCAAGCAGGAGACCCTATACCATTTCAGACCAACGATGCTCCAATCTCTTCTTAAAAAACTTGCAGTATTGTAGCATTCACAACTTCCGGTGGCCAGCTGTTCCACTGGTTAATTGTCCTCCCTGTTAGGAAATTCCTCCTTAATTCCCAGTTGCTTCTCTCCTTGATGAGTTTCCATCCGTTGCTTCTTGTAGTGCCTTCGGGTGCTTTGGAAAATAGCTCTTCTTCGTGGCAGCCCCTTAAATACTGGAAGATGCTATCATGTCTCCCCAAGTCCTTCTCTTCATTAAACTAGACGTACCCAATTCCTTGCAACCGTTCTTTGTATGTTTCAGCCTCCAGTCCCCTAATCTTCTTTGTTGCTCTTCTCTGCACTCTTTCCAGAGTCTCCATATTTTTCTTGTGCGTTTTACTCACCATAGTGAGTAAAACTGGAGGCAGGATTCCGAGTGTGGCCTTACCGAGGCTTTTATATGGTAAAGACCGGCTCCAAATATCTCAGCTGGGGCTCTTCCCTCTGCATGTCTCCAAAATATAATTCTTTCCTCCTCTCTGGCCCACCTTTTTCGAAAAATTGTCCAGGCAGTTCTAGGTGTCCTTCAAGACATGCCCGTCCTTTTTAATCTTCAGAGACAGGACCTGAAGTCATTGTTGATTTGGGAGAAGAATTAATGTGGAAGAACAAGACGTTGGAACATTATTATTTTTTTTGCTCTGTATGTGCCGCCTGTGTATGGCGGGGTGGAATAGATGCTCTCCAGGTTACCACTGATCGGGATCTGTTTGTCTCATGTGCAGATGCAGGAAGGGAAGATTATGGAACGGAGGAAGAAGATCGCCCTGGAGTTGTCAGAACTGGTCGTTTATTGCCGTCCGGTGCCCTTTGATGAGGAGAGTAAGTTGCTATGTCCCTACGTCCGGACTTTACTTCAGATCAGGCTGACCTGAGGCTCAGGTGGGGGTTCTGTTGATTTACTAGCTCGATACTCGTGCTTCGCTACGAAACTTATGTGGTTGGGCTTAGTTTTTTGGGAGGAAAGTCAGGGGGGGGAAAATTCTGCCTCTGCCTGCCAGCATCCATCGGTATTCACCTGGCTAGCGTCCTGTCAGTGTGTCAGAGAGAGTTGAGGGCTGTTTGGAAACTGAAGCAGTATTTGCTTGTGTGAGCAAGAAGGAGACAGCAAGGAGCCTGGGCGTGGCTTAGCTCAACTGTTCTGTACTGAAGCTGCTTGGTGCTCTGAAACTGAAACCAAAACTTCTCCCCTCTGCTTGTGTTTTGCATTTGGAAGAGATTTCTTTTTTTCAGGTGGGGAGGGGGAGTAGAACTCCTTAGCACCAGAGCGTGTTAATTGCTGTAGAAGAAATACTAATGAAATACTAATGATCCAAGGGTCTTTTCGAAAAATCCTTTCTTAGTGAGCCCCTAGAAGCCAAGAGGAAGATACGGGCCGACTTTCAAGTTTGTAGGCTTTACGGTCCTGGAGATTTTGTGATGAGGCGTGAGGGGTGTTTCGCTTTTATATGGATAGGTTTAGCATACGGCATCTACAGACATCATCCAATCACTGATACAGGCAGTCTTACAACCACAACGGAGCCCAAAATATCTGTTGCTGCAGCTGCTAATCCCCTTTTGCGACCTTCTGACAAGCAGAGTCTGGAACGGTCCAGGGTCTCCTGCTTGAGCAGGGGGGTGGACTAGAAGACCTCCGAGGACCCTTCCAGCTCTGTTCCAATTGATCGATTGGAGCCAAAAAGGGGAAGCCAGATTCCCTGATAGCAACCAGATTGCTAACTTGCCAAGTGCAGCGATTCCCTTCACAGCTGTGGAAAGGAAGGCCGTAACACAGGGGCAAAACTCACTCAGCAACCGTCCCGCTTAGCAACGGTAACGTCGAGACTTGGCTGTGGGTGTAAGTCGAGGACTTCCCGTATTCCCACTCTGCAGGGGGTGGCGCTGAGCCGTGGAGGATCCGTATTCAGGACAGCTGACCTTCTTGCTCCGTTTTCTTTCCCAGAGATCGGCACGGAGAAGGCCTGTTACCGGGACATGTCTTCCTTCCCGGAGACGAAGGCCGAGAAATACGCCAACCGCAGCAAGGGGAAGAAATTCCTGCAGTACAACCGGCGCCAGCTCAGCCGCGTCTACCCCAAGGGGCAGCGCCTCGACTCCTCCAACTACGACCCCTTGCCCATGTGGATCTGCGGCAGCCAGTTGGTTGCCCTTAACTTCCAGACTCCCGGTAAATTCGCTTTAATCTTGAGTGGGTTGGATCGGGGCGGGTGGTGTCTCCCAACGTAGCCCCTTTAAAGACTTGTGGACTTCTGAGTCCCAGAATTCCTCAGCTAGCCTGTGTTCTGACCCAACCTGGTTCCAACTAATTAACTCTGACAAGAAAGAGCCTGGCCGAGTTGTTGTTCAAGGCTGCCAAAAACCCACAGATAAGAAAATAGTTACAAGAGTTTTCAAATACTAACTACAGTATAATGTCCATGAGGCTGAGTTTCAGAACGTCTTTGCCTTCTGCAAAGGACGCTTCTTCAAACCTGGCTTTTATCCTCTTGAAGGAGGGGCCATGACCTTGCAGCCTTACTCCCGAGTCGCCTGTGCTGCTGTAACTGCTCTCTCCTACGAGCAATCCTACGCGCACTTGGCA